ACGAGCAGCTGGATACGAACAGGTGGAATTTATGCAGCTCATTTACACACTTTTCCAGAAGATAGAAGAGTTTGTTGAATCTGACGTGACATGTTCGTACGAACCCTTTTTGTACGAACAAAAGTAAGAGAAATTTAGGATAAGAATACGAACATGTTCTTGCATGAGGCCAATTGTTTTGAAGTGATCAGCATCCAGACCTGTGATGAAGGCGGGAACCCCCCAGCCGATCAGGTAGTAGAACCTCATCGGTCCGTAGTTGATGTCTCGCACCTCGCTGATCATGCGGTAAACGTGCAGCCCCTCCAGGAAGAGCCAGGAGAACGAGCAGAGGTAGAAGAAGTGCAGCAGGATGGCGATGATCGTGCAGAGAAACTGTCGGCGGGAAGGAAGAGTTAAAACGTCCCGACCCTTTTCAGAAGTAAAACCAGAAGGCCCTCGGGGATTACCGGGTTGTCGGCCTGGTTGATGCCCAGGATGAAGATGAGCTCCGACAGGAAGAGAGCCGAGGATCCGTTGTTGATGATGCTCGTCTTGTTGCTCTGCATGGCCCTGAGGCACAGGAGGAAGACCGTGGTGAGGAAGAGGAAGCCCAGCGTCACGCCYGCCGTGCTCCACGTCAGGATCTTGATGGGCAGGATCTCTCCGTTCTGAGGCAAACATCAGGGTTAGCGGTTAAACGCCGACGTGAGGACGCGTGTGTMTGTGTGACGCTTCAGAGTCCCTCACCTCCCTCCTGGAGACGTCCATCAGGACGGCGAAGCTGGTCATGTGGTAACACTGACAGCTGATGTGGCTGCTGTTCCTGAACACCACCTCGCAGCCTTTAGCCGACCAGCCGCCGTTTCCTGAACTGAAACAACGATAAGCAGAACACACCATGAGAACCACACACACACACACASKCWSTSTSTMWYWTYWYTGTGTGTGTGTGTGCGGACTCACAGGATGGTGTGGTTCCAGAACACACAGATGGGCTTGGAGCGCTCCTCGGTGGCGACCAGGCGGAACTGCACGGTGATGGGTTTGTCCAGCGGGTGCTGCAGCAGCTCGTCGTTATCGTGGACGGTGATGCTGACCACCGGCGTGTTGATGACCGGACGCTTCGGGACGCTGAGGAGGACAGAGCAACAACATCAAACTTTTCCTTTAACGTTTGTTCGTTGAGCACAGACTCAGGATCATAACAAATATTCAACTTTTAAAAACAAATGTGAATAAAGTTGTGTTTTTCTTGCTTCTGATGTGAGAGTTTCATAAAAAAAACAGTTAAAGGCTTGTGAGATATTTTGCTAACAGAAACGTCTTTCAAACATGAAAAAACCCCTGTTCCCCAACTAAAAACTTACCCCGAATGAAACCTAATTTCAGAGTGAATATTCATTGATTTTTAGARGACAAATAAAAATTGGTTTATTTCTGTTTTATGTTGGATTTTATTGCTTGTCGCCCGTTAAAATAATTAAAGTGTTGCTGGTCTGAAAGCTTTAAAAATAAACTTCTCCTCCARTCACTTTCCTCACAGCCTATATTACTGAAAGCAGAGCTGCACAATATATCAACATTTATCATCACTGCAAAATCAATACCACAAAGGACTGCAATAAATCAAACACAAGCTGAGAAACAATAAAATATTTGTTAATCGGACACTAGACCACCCCTGATCTAAATAACCACAGCTGATGGTGACTGAAATGTTATCCCAGCTGCATGTATTATTTATTTAATAAAAAAAAAACTGGAGCAGTTTATATTTTCTGTATTGTCTTTGCTGAAAATTGTTTAAAAAGCTGAAACTGAATTGTTAAAGTTGGAACAAACAGAACTAAACGGCTGAAACCCAGAGTTAAAAGATAAAATTACAAAACAGTAGCTAAATGCTAAAACAAGAATAGATACTGATGTAGTTTTCATAGAATCTGGAGGTTTTTGTGTATTTTTATGTGATTTTTTTCTAAAAAAAACAGTGAAATAATTCAAAGTATAAATTAGTTATAAGTTATTAAAACTAAAAGTCAGCTCACATTAATTCAAACCGAGACGAATGTTTTGATACACGAATAATGAAATTAGCATAAAGTCTGCAGGAAACTGCAAAACAAACTGATTCATACAAACATTTCAACATTTTATTTTTCATCYACGACTCCTCACCGCAGACTTCGCTTGTCCGGGTCGTAGTTCTCTGGTAGAAGCGTGGCCAGGCTGTGGAAGATGATCACGCTGGCGATGGCTTCCTGCTGGCTGTCCTCCGGGTGGCGCCTCTTCCTGTGGCCCGAGCGGTTCCTCGGGGAGGACTCTGGGAAAACATCCAGGAGTCTGTGGCCCTTATTGTTGTCCGTCGGCGGCTGAAAGACCGAGTCGGGGAGAGTGACGGCAGTCTCCTGGTCCACGGGGTGCGGGCCCCTCAGGYACTGGTACCGAGGCAGTTTGGCTCCGGCAAAGTTCATCTTTTTCAGACGATCCACAGAGATGACTGCACACAAAAAACGAGGAGCTGAGGACGGAGCTTCAGGAAGGACATCAGAGATCATTTTCAAAACTTACCGATGTTTGGTGTGACGATGGTGAAGGGGCTCAGGTAGGTCTTTCTCATGTTCTGCGCCAGCGTGTTTGCGTAGTCTTCGTAGTGTCGCAGCAGCGCTGCCGTGCCGCCCTCCGAGTTCTGGATCAGCTCCCAGTGAGGCCGGGCTTCTGGAGACAGGATGGCGCTGCCAACGGTGATCAGATTCTGTCAGAAAGAACCGAGACGTCTGAGTGACAGGGGGTCACAGCACTGAGGGGGCTGCGTGTGTGTGCGTGTGTGTGTGGCCTTGTTCTTGCTACATGGTGGGGACAGTTTCTCAGGAAAATGTAGCCTTGTGGGGACCGGTCCCCACAACATCGGAGGCTGATTTTGGGTGTGGGGGTTGGGTTTAGGACCAAGGTGTGAATTGAGTTTAGGTTAGTTTTAGGGTCAGGTAGGTTACCTGTGAGGTTAGCTTTAGGGTAAATGGCCAGGATTAGGCTATAAAATAAAATAAAAATGAATGGAAGTCAATGGAAAGTCCCCACAAGGATAGAGAGATGTATTATGTGTGTGTGCTGACCTCAGTGAAGTGAACATCCTGTGTAGCCGTGAGGTTGAAGCCCTGCTGGTTCCTCTCGTGCTGCAGCAGACTCAGGGCGAGTCGGTACGCCACCTTCACGTCGCTGCCGTAGAACTGCTGCGTGTGCGACGTGGCGTTGGCCAACATGGCCGCCGTCTGCTGAACGAGCCCAGGATCCAGGAGCGACGCGTTACGGGAGAACCGTTCTGACTGGAGGAGGGAAAACAGACACAGACGGTTAAAAACTCAAGATGCCCTGGGAGGAAAAAAAAACAACCGAACTAAAAGCTTAAAGTTTCGCCCACCAGGTGACCATCTTTGATTGGATTGATTCAAAAATGTAATCAGTCTGTTTCATTAAAATGGTTCAGSAGATATTTTGCTAACAGACAGACACGGGCAAAAACATCATCAGTAGGAAGTGATAAGATAAAAATATCCATGAATTGAACTGCAACAGATTCACTGTAGAGCTACAGCAATTATCTTTATATTCCCACAGTACAATTGTGTATGAGTCAGATTTTATAAAACCTGACAGAGAAAGAGACGACGCACCAGGGCTTTGAGCCTGCTGAAGGTGACAGAGGTGCAGTTGAAGAGGTTTGGAGGGAGCCAGCCCTTGTGCTCGTCACAGTGTCGGATGGCTGTGCCTTAAAGGGAGGAGACAGGAGAGGTGAGGAACGAGCCACAGCTGACTCACAGCTTCAGGCTGCTTTCAGATACTTTCCATTATTTTATGGTAATTTGATGATCTGCCAAAAAAAAAAAAAAAACTCATCATACCAATAGTTCCTTTGGGACAGGGAACTGCTGCAGGAAGACCAAACTTAGTCCTGGGCCACCAAATCCCAGCCTCGATGGCCTGAGGGCAGCTGTCATAGATTACTGAGCGAGGAGCACAGAGGAGAGATGAGGAGGAGGAGGAGGAGAAGAAGGAGAAAAACTGAAGATTTAAAAAWATATATATATTTATGCATCAATAATGAAATTACAGAAATCACATTTTCTGTTAAATGCAGAGTGTTGAGTGACTGAAGAAATTTGATGAAGCTGCTAAAAGAGATAAAAGAAAAATAAAAACAAAGGCTAAAATTAGCCACATGCTTGCCATAAGCTAATAGTGGCTAATGCTACCTAAAAGGTACACCTAGCCAAATATGAGATAAAAGCTAAATGTAGTAAAATGCTAGCTTAATGCCAAAAGTAGAAAAACACAAACTGAACAGTAGCCACACTAGTTAAAAACAGGAAAACTAGTTAGAGATTAAAAACACTAGATGACAGTAAAAGAATCATACTAGCTGTCTGCTAAAATTAGTAAGATATTAACTAAAAACTGAATGTAGCAAAACACTAGTTTAAAGATGACAGTACCAAAAGACTGGCTAAAAGCAACAAAACCAGTTAAATAAACCCTAGATAATAGTAGATAAAAATACAGAACTCAGAAGCAGTTACTTGTCAAAAAAGATGAGAAATAAAAGACAGTGAATCAAGAGAAACAGGATCATACAGTAAAGATTTCACAGAGATTCATTCATCCAGACCTTCACAGCCGTTAGGTGAGACCTCGGCGAAAGGGTTGTCACAGCGATCGCACTGACGCCCGATGACACCGGCTTTACACTGACACTGCCCGCTGTCTCTGTCACAGGCTCTGGAGAACGAGCCGACCGGGTAGCAGTCACACAGGAGGCAGGTGTCGCTGCCTTCAGGTTGGTAGTGGTTGTCCTGGAAACAAGACCAGAAGATGCTTTTTAATGACCTCTTTTTAAAGGTCTACATTCTTCTACGTCTGCACAAATTTCAGCCTGAGAGACACAAAACTCCAGCTGCTGAAACAAAACTTAGTTTTTCAGACTGGATTTTTAAAATTATTATATTTGCTGCACTGAAAACAGACTCACTGTTGAAGCAAAACCATGACCTCACAGCATGTTTTATTAGGAACAATAGTTATGGCTCACTGCAGATGTGTTAGCACTCAAATTACATGATGTGAATGACTCTCAGCTACTACCACAACAAATTTAAGCTCAAAATCTGTAAATGACTGAGTTGTAGACATTTTTACGTTATATAAGGTCACATAGCGGTGGCAGCCATCTTAAAATTAGGTTGATTTCCAAGTTAATGCACATCCTATGATGACTTTTTTGAGAGTTTCCTTTAATTTTCACGCAACATCTTATGAGATATTTTGCTAACACAACAGAAACAAAGACAAAAAACATCATCACTCACTGTTTGCCTTTCAGCAGAGACCAATAATAACATATCGTGGACATGAAATGGTACTAACACATTTAAAAACTGATTTTCCCAACATTTTTTCCCAGATATTTTAAATCAGAAGATCTGATGTGTGCTGGCAGAAACAAKAGAAGTCAAAGCTGTTTGTAAATATCACATCTTCTGAACATTCAGGTTGTTAAACCAAAGCTGACGATGCTTTTACTGAAATCCCAAAATGTTTTTCACCGTCACATTTCAAACAATCCAGGGCTCACCTTACAGCGACACTCTCCGCTCGTCTTGTTGCAGTCAGAGTCGAAGCCCCGCTCTGTCGGACAGTTGCAGGGCCCGCAGGTCTTGTGACCCCACCAACCTCTRGGACACGGCAAGTCGGTCCTGTAGAGACACACACAGTGAGTTTACCGGATCTACGGGGGAAAAAAAACAACAACACCGTTAATTTGAGGCYTGGACAACGGTACTTTTTCTCGCAGTATCGTCCGAAATAGTTCCTGGGACATTCGCAGGCGTAACCGTGGGAGGCGCCTGGCCTCCTGGTGCACGTTGAAGCGTGTTCACAGGGGTTCAGCGAGCACACGTCGGAGCAGTTGGTGCCATAGTAACCTGTAGAGAAACAAAGCGGGTGAAAACACGGTCTCACGTCGTCATCGGTGTAAAAGGTTTTGTCAGGTTTGAGCKGTGGCGGATCTGGGATTTTTCTGAGTAAGGGGCCACAATATTCATAAAGGGGCCAAGTATTTGTTCAGCATCCTTGCACACAAATCCCTGGTTTTGGTAAGGTGTATATATTTTACCAGTCACGTTTAAACATTTGTTATTTTAAAAAGCTTGCACAGTAAATTCTCCTTACCAATTTTACATGCATTTTTACAGTACATAGATAAAATACTCTCAAACACACAGTGAGCGAATCAAGCCACCACTTGTGATTTTAAAGACTTTTTCTGCAGGATTGTTTAAATTTTAAGAAAAGAAAAAGTCTTCTGTCAGCTTGATTCATGCTGGACCTTTCTATTAGGCTTATTAGTGCCTCTAGGTGCCTCTAGTGTTTGGACATGGAACTGCACCCTGCACCATCACTCTTGGGCAAAGGACAGATGAGTGACAGGACAGGGGCATTTCAGGGGGTCAATCAYCTTTCAGCAGGGGCCAACGCCCCCYTGGCCCCGCCCCTAGAACRGCCCCTGGYTTTGAGGCAGACTGACCGCTGAGGCAGGTGCAGGAGTAGCTGTCCCAGTCGTCGCTGCAYTAGCTGCTGGCGGGACAGGGGTTGGAGCTGCAGGGGTCCGGCACGCTGCAGCCCTGCTCCACYTTCACCTTCCTCGCCTGAGACCAACTCAGAGCTCCGCCAACGCGCAGACCCTGAGCAGAAATGATTTAACAGAAAAAAAAAAACAACAAAATAAAACCACAGTTTTGTTTGATTTAGCTACATTTTTTTTTCAAATTTAAGGCCAAGCATTCCCTGAAGGATGTCTGCGAATCAAATGATGAATTCTGGAGCGTATGGAGGCTTTAGAGGACAAACCTGTATGCAGCCACGGAAGCCGTGCTGAATTTTCCCATCAGGCCTTCCCAAACCACCAACGCTCACAGCCTTCAGCTTGGAGTCCCGCAGCTTCCCGTCCACCTCCATACTGGCCTGAAAAAGAATCGTGGCGACGATGACATCACAGCTGAAAAACTCTGCAAGTTAACTCACGAGTGTGGACTGACCAGGTAGAGTCCATGATCCAGAGACAGCGCTGCCCTGCCGCGGCCCGCTGCTCCTTCCGGGCTGCTGACGTTCAGCTGCAAGTGATGCCAGTCTCCATCGTTGGCCAGCGCCTCCTCCACCCGGGACAGAGTGGAGTCCTCCCCCCTGTGCAGCCCCATCAACACGCTCCCCCCGCGCAGCTGCAAGGAGGAGGAAAAGACAATCAGCTCTGTGGGTTCAAAAGTTCAAACCTGAAACCGCTGCACATATTAGAGCCGGGCTGTCGGAGCAGTTTCTAACATCAAAGAGTCGTCAGTTTAGAAAAGCTCAAAGTGTCGTTGAGAACGGCTCTAAATATAGAACGAGCTGCTTGTTTTTCCCACCGTGCCTCGTCTGAGACCGTTTGTCTCACCTGCAGAGTGAGGTTGTGCTGCAGGCTGGTGGAAACGTGAAGCAGCGTGGCGCTGGACTGACGGGTGCGGAACATGAGCTCGATATGCCAGAGGACGGAGGCCGCCGCCGCCGTCTCCAGGTTGTTCCACTGCAACACACTGTTACCCTGGAAACGCAGCGGGTTGGCCATGGCTACAGAAAAAAAAAAGTGGACACGAGAAGAAAAACAACCAAATAAAAGGGTTGAGAAGAAAAAGGAACATATAAATCTCTGTGTGGAAAGCTGGAGGGAAGACAGAGAGTCCAACATGGTCGCTTATCTTGTCCAATTTATCACAGCTAAACGCTCACATTTAAAAGACACAAACATAAGAAGAGACACTTAAACAATATAGAAATTATTGGTTAATGAGCTTTGAAGGAATTATTGGGGTTTAGGTTATATACTGATTTTAATTACACTACACATGTTATAGTTTTATGATAGAACTCTAAAGATTGTTAAATGTGACTGTTTTGCTCAACTTAATTTATTATAGCTACATGCCTGAAAACAAATTCAACACATAACTGAAATTTAAATCCTCATTAGGTAGGTTTTTATGTCTGGGGGCATAGTTTCTGGTAAGAGTAGGGTCCCCCCACTGATGACGTAATCAACAGGTGGAGCCATGCCTCGGAGCCCTTGTTAAAAGCAATTGTACTTCCTTGTTTTCGGTCTGAACGCTTGGTTCCCGATTAAACCAGTTTTCAGCAGAGAGCGCTCTTTGGTTTGTCTGGTTTCTCTTTAATAATCTTTTCCATGCATTTGTACATTCTCCGTATGGTTTAAGCACACATCCTGGTAAACAAACACGCATAACAATATTTTCTTTCAGCTTAACAAGGGAGTGAATTATAAGAATACTGAAACAAAGGTGAGTTTCCTGTCCTGGTTTTATGTCTTTTAAAGATTAAAATTTTCATACTATAGTGTGTAAAGGTTTTAAATCCCTTATTAATTAATTATATTCAGTGTCGTTTAAAGTACCATGGATTAAAACAGGTAAGAGGAAAGTGATACTTGAGGAAAGGTACAAGTATCTTATCATAAAATTACTTTGGATAAAAGTTCAAGTCTCCTCTAAGAGTATTACTTGAGTAAACGTCTTAAAGTATCTGATTTACTTTGTACTTAAATATCAAAAGTAAAATTCTGACGTAAAATGTACTTAAATAATAAAATTAAAAGTATTGAGTAAAAATGAACGGTTTAGATTTTCCAAAGTATTTTTACTGGAAGGTGAACTCTTCAAAAAATATTTTTTCTAAAGGCGTGCAGCTTTGATTAATTGTATACAAACTAAATACAGTATCAGAGTGGTATATATTTACACTTCTCAACCAACCACAATTAAAGTCACTCTATCCAGTAACCACAAATTTTCAGGATAGTAAATTTTTAACAATAACAAGCCGAAATGAAATAGGAGAAATTACTTTGTGCTTCTTACCTTTTTTTAAAAAGTAAGGAGTAGAAAGTACAGATAATTGAGTAAAAATGTAAGGAGTAGAAGTAAAAAGTAGGCTGAAAAATAATTACTCAAGTATAGTACAGATAACCAAAATTTCTACTTAAATACAGTAACAAAGTATTTGTACTTAGTTACATTACAACTCTGATTATATTTTGTTTCTAAGGACTCAAAGTATTTTGTAAACTTTAAAAAGATCATAATCAACAGTTCTTCAGGCTTTCTTAATGTATTTCAAAGTCTTTTCTTTGGACTTTGTTGTTTGTTTCACTTATTTTCTGTCCAGGGAACAGTTCAGGGTCTAACYAGTGTTTCCAGAGTCGTGCTCTGTGTTTGTTTTGACTTCCCTCACCTCTCTCACAGCTCTTTCCTCCAAACCCGAGGGGACAGTCGCAGCTGAAGGAGCCCCACAGGTTCACACAGGTTCCTCCGTTCAGACACGGGTTATTGTTGCAGAAATGCCTCTTGGCTGAGCATCCTGAGAGGAAAGGAAGGAGAATAACCTGTTTGATCTGTCCGACCTCATTATCTCATCACAGGAGTCAGAAGGAAATCAACTATTCATGGCAGTTATTGTTCGACTCTTTCTTCTAGCTGAGCTCATTAAAGCCGGTGTTATTCCCTCTGCGGGTTGTTTTACACTTGACTGCTTGAACATGAAACATTGTTTCTGCAAACATATTAAATATAACTAAAGAAATTATACTTTCCATGAAATATGGAGTGAATGTGAAATGTGCAACTATACAGAACAAGCTGAAACTTAATTGTTTAAGTTAAATGAAGCACAGCACAAGCTTAAAGATAAAAGAAGCAGAAAACTCGATAAAAGCTAAAGGAGGAAGAACACTAGCTAAAATAAAAATGCAAAATGTTAGAAAAAAGTAGAAAAAAGCTATCTAAAAAGCTACGTGTAACAATATACTAGACAAAGTAGTAAAAGGCTAGCTAATAATGGAAAAAAGCCTAGATAGAGGCAAAAGACTAGCTAAAAGATAAATGTTACAAAACAGTAAAAGCCTCTTCAGACTAAAAGAAGGAGAATTGTAGTTGTAAGCTAAAAGTAACAAAAGGCTAGCTAAGAGACAAAAGTGGTGAAATGATAGCTAAAAAGTAGCAAAAAGTTAGCAACAGCCCAAAAGTGGCAAAGATTAGCTAAAAGCTAAAGGTAATGAAACAACAGATAAAAGATAAAAGCAGCAAAAGAAGAAAAACTGAACATTTTAAAATATTATTTGTAAATATTTTTAAAGTATAAAAGTTATTAAAACCAAAGGTGATAGCAGCCAACATTTTGATTCATAAATGGATAAAATTGTACAAAAATGCAGAGGTATTTAGACGGAAAAAAAAAATCATACAGGATACTAATAAACTGGAGGATGAATGAGCATTCACAGTAACACCTGTGAGGCCCGGCGCACCTGGCAGAGTGCCGTTGTTAGCGATGTAGCTGGCCATGTCTATGTGCTGGTTGTCAATACGCAGGTTCTTCATGCAGCCCATGAACTGGCGGTTCTGAACAGGAAAGTCTTCTGGGAGTTTGGGGACTCCTCCGAGGAGCAGGGGTCCGGTCAGATCCAGAGACCTGACGGGATAAAGAAACCTGTTCATGCTAAACACTTCCTCAACAACAATGTACAAAAACTCCATGCTGCTGCTGATGGAACATTACTTTTTAGATCCCGTTTGGCTGCCCTGAGCTGAGCACGAATAGTTTCCTATCATGTGACCAAATCTCAGCGCCACTGAGGCGTCGCAGTTATCTACGGTCACGACCACGATCTTCTGGTCTGAGGGTCCCTGAGGCAGACCCGCCTGGTTCAGGATTGGCTGTAAATATAAAACAAAACAAAAAGAAGCAAACTCATGAGCACAAAGATAAATACTGATGCATGTTTTCTACATTTTAGAACAGAAGTCAGTCAAAACAATGAGGTACAAAACTTTAAGTTGGTTGTGTTCATTTAAAAAAATAAGGAGTAAACTAAGAACAGACTTCAGAAACATCAGTAAGACAAAATAACACCACCAGTCTGGTCAAAACTATAAGACTGTAACACTTACACCTAATGAGGACATTTCGGAGAGCATTATTATTATTATTCTTATTATTCTTATTATTCTTATT